GTTATCTGACCATATATGAACATTTATGGAGTGTTCGGTCCAGCTCAGTCTGGTTTGGTCCAGTTTGGCCCAGTGAACTCTGGTCTTTCATGTGTTGTCATGCAGACTGACCTCTAACCTGGAGCTTCACACAAAAGTTGTGTTGGCTGTAACAACCTCTGATTGGTTTAGTTTTAGGGAGCATGTTAACAGATCATACCGTTAAGCAGCACAAACTCCCAGATCATTCTGTAATTGGGTTAGTACTTCCTGAGTGCTAAGAATAGTTCTTTTGACTGTTCTTTAAAACGATTCATTTAAAAGATTTGTTCACTGAATCAGTCAGTGCTTCAGAGCCCTGTCCTGCCAGTGCAGTACACGAGTGAGTGACACAGCTGTGAGTTCGTTCATTGAATGAGCCCCTCCCCTCCCCCTTCTGCTGAAGTCACAGCATTGTTCACTGGGTGACACATGTCGTTCATTTGCAAAGTCCTGAAGGAGATATCACTCCCCTCCCCTGAAAAACTCACCTCTCTGGCCCAATCTCAAACTGCCCCCTAAACACTCACCCTATACACTCCCCCTCCGTTTGTGCATCCCCGCGGAGGCTTCACTATATTGAAGACCGCCTCAAACCACAGAGTGAAGAGGGCAAGTGGACTGTTCAGCCCTCAAATAGCGAGTCTGCACACATAAGTACATAAAACTCAAAATTGAGCTCAGGTGCATCCTGTCTCCACTGATAAGCCTTGAAATGTTCCTCCAACTTGATTGCAGTCCACCTGTGGCAAATTCAGCTGATTGGACATGATTTGGAAAGTCACACCTGTCTATATAAGATCCCACAGCTGACAGAGCACGTCAGAGCACAAACCAAGCCATGAAGTCAAAAGAATTGTCTGTAGACCTCCGAAACAGGGTTGTGTCGGCGCACAGATCTGGGGAAGGTTACAGAAAAATATCTGCTGCATTGAAGATCCCGAAAAAGCACAGTGGTCTCCATCATTAAGAAATGGAAGGCGTTTGGAACCACCAGGACTCTTCCTAGAGCTGGCCATCCAGCCAAAATGATCAAGCGGGGGAGAAGGGCCTTGGTCAGGGAGGTGACCAAGAACCCGATGGTCACTCTGACAGAGCTCCAGCTTTCCTCTGAGGAGATGGGAGAACCCTACAGAAGGACCACCATCTCTGCAGCACTCCACTAATCAGGCATTTATGGTAGAGTGGCCAGACAGAAGCCACTCCTCAGTAAAAAGCACATGACAGCCCACTTGGACTTTGCTAGAAGGTACCTGAAGGACTCACAGACCAGGAGAAACAAAATTCTCTGGTCTGATGAAACGAAGATTGAACTCTTTGGCCTGAATGCCAAGCGTCATGTCTGGAGGAAACCAGGCACCACTCACCACCTCGTCAATACCATCCATAAAGTAAAGCATGGTGGTAGCAGCATCATGCTGTGGGGATGTTTTTCAGCGGCAGGAACTGGGAGACTTGTCAGGATCGAGGGAAAAATGAATGCAGCTAAGTACATTGAAATCCTTGATGAAAACCTGCTCCAGACCTTCGACTAGGGCGACGCTTCATCTTCCAGCATGACAATGACCCTACGCACATGGCCAAGAAGACAAAGGGTGGCTTCAGGACAAGTCTCTGAATGCCCTTGAGTGGCCCAGCCAGAGCCCAGACTTGAACCCGATTGTACATCATTGGAAAGACCTGAAAGTAGCTGTGCACCGACGCTGCCCATCCAACCTCACTGAGCTTGAGAGGATGTGCAAGGAAGAATGGGGAAAAACTCCCCAAATATAGGTGTGCCAAGCTTGTTGCATCATACACAAGAAGACTGGAGGCTGTAATCGCTGCCAAAGGTCCTTGACTAAGTATTGAGTAAAGGGTGTGAATATTTATGTTTATGCAACATTTGAGTGTTCTTATTTTTAATAAATTTGCAAAATGTTCTAGAAAAAGTTTTTCGCTTTGTCATTATGGGGTATTTTGTGTAGAATTTTTGAGGGAAATAGGGAATTTAATCCATTTTGGAATAAGGCTGTAACATAACAAAAATGTGGAAAAAGTGAAGTGATATGAATACTTTCCGGATGCACTGTAGCTCCTGTCACTGTAATGGTTATTAGATTTATTAGTCTAGTTGGAAGGAGGGGGTTCAGTGCACCCCCCGGAGATATATTTCTAATCAGTGTTTTTCTATAGGAAAAAATGTGCTGAAAATGATGAGCTATGATAAAAAGTTCTCAGAATGTCCCATCTGCCCCAAAACCCCCAAAAACCCACTTTTTGGTACATGGCTCCAGCGAAATTGTGTTAAGGCAAATATTAATTTACTAAAATTACATAATTGGACATGAAAGTCTAAAATTTGGCATGGGGTATCCTGAGACATAGGATTAAGTAGCCCAATAGGATTTTAGGACCTGCTACAACTGTATTCATAATTATGACCAACATCATCCCCAGAAACACAAAAAAATATACTGTCCGCTTGACAAATAATAACAAAGATGATTGATTTCCAGCACTTTATGTTGAATATCACTGCCTCATTTGTATATATAAACTTCCCATGTCCCCAAGCTTCAATTTGAGCCCAAGATGACCTTTCTGGCTTGAAAATTACTCTTTCTATAGCCAAAGTTCTGCACTATACCTCAAATCGGAGAAAATAGGAGATTCTGCCAGTAGCTGTCTATTACAGGTATTATGCACCCCCAGATATATATATATATATTTCTAATCAGTATTTCCTTATTGTAAAAAATGTGCTGAAAATGATGAGCTATGTTAAATAGTTGTCAACATGATCAATCTATTATTTATATGCTAATTAGTGCCGCCATTTTGGAAACACTGATTTTGCCTATATCTCAGGCAATGTTGCATTCAAATGAACAAATAAGGTATCTGGACCTGTTTTGAGGGCCAAGGTTAAATGACCATATGTTCCAGTGACATGCTTGCATGTAAAGCAGTCCCATAAGAAATTGAATGTACTTTCAATGTATGTTTTATTAATTTGACTCAGGCCAGGTGTGACTGGTAAACATTATCCATGACCCAGGTCAAACTTATTGAGCATAGAGATAACTATGACTGCACAGCAGTTGTGCATTGAGCATATCAATACAGACAGTATAAACTCTGCCACCACCACACCTTGGCTTCTACATCATCCTCCCAACAAACAAGGTAAGAAGCATAAATCAGCCACTGTATACATGTGGAATAAATTGACTGACTTTGACTACACAATGTACACATTATGTAATATTTCCTTCTTGAATATAGTTATCACATATAGTTTAAATATTTTTCCTTCTTATTTTATCTTATCTTTAGTCTGCTAAAACAAGTAGTAGCTTCAAACATGACTGTAAAATAAGATGGTTGCACCCATAACATCAGCTATTGGTTTTTCTTATTCACTTCTCTTAACAGTGGTGGTTATAGAGATCAAGCCAACATGCCTAAGGCTAAGGGAAAAAAGAGTTTGAATCCTGAGGCACACAAAAGTGCATCACTATGCATACTTCATGTGTCATCCCTGTCAGATCATGGTAATTTCACACCCCTCTCAAAAGTAAAAGGAACCCCTGCAGAAAAATTACAACATCTTCATGATATACGGGACCAACGTCTCCAACAATCTCATGAATCCCCATATCGTATACAGTTAGTCTGTGACCAAATCCCCTCAACTTTACCTGATGACTTGGAAGGTGTTGGGTACCACCGCAACTGTTATCTGCGCTTTAATGCCAACCTTCATCTCCTAAGAGATAACACAGAACCAGAACCATCAACCTCAGAGAGGCATCGCTCGCCTCGTAGATTGTCGTCTGGTCCCATCTTCCCACCCGAGTGCATTTTTTGTGAAAAGGTTGTGATCAAAGGTAGCCATCGGAAAACAGAGAGACCTCAGTTCTTCTCATCTTTTAGGAACAAAAAAAATGCATGGGAGCAAATTGAATCGAGGGCAGAGAAAATGGGTCTAGCTCATCTACACAGACAGGTGAAAGGCAAAGACCTCTTTGCTTGTGAGGCCAAACACCACCCTTCATGCTTTAGGTCCTTCCACACAGCATTCTTCAACTATGAGCGTGGGATTAACAGAGCCAAAAGAGAAAAGGATACCGAACAGAATCTTATGACAGCTGCCCATGAAAAAGCATTTTCCTCAGTACTGGAACACATCCAAACTCATGTCATCCATCAAAAACAAGTCCTAAAGCTATCTTCAATCCGTTTGTTCTATATTGAACAATTGAATCTGAATGGGCATGAGAACTCAAATTATCGCTCTGAAAAGCTAATGAAGCGCCTACAGAAAGACCCAATCAGTGAGCATATCAACTTCACAAAAGTCAAACATAATGAAGATGATTTAATTTCTTTCTGGCTTGTGTACAGCTCAAATATCACAGTTTCTAGTGCTCTTGCTCGAGCTTACACTCTAGGAAGCACAGATAAGCACCAAAATGTTGCTTTCCAACTTCGTCAGGTAATTTTAGATGCTTTCAGCGAGTCCAAGACCTACCATGGCCACCAACAGCCGATGACCTGGAGCCTACTTCTGAAAACCTTTTGCCCACAGCCCTTGTCCAGTTCCTTAGCATGGTTATGACTGGCAAAGAAAACATGGAGACTGAAAATGAAAAGCTGAAGCGTCTGGTATTCTCCATTGGGCAAGACTTTGCCGTGCAGTGTCGGAGGGAAAATGGAAGTTCCCAAAACACATTCTACTATGTGAGACTGTGAGGCACTTGTTCCGAAGCAAGCAACTCACAACAATATTAAACAGACTTGGCCACTCTGAGACCTACGATTTTGGCTTAGAGTTGGAAACTGCACTGGCTAAAGCCCTGGATGAAGTCTCAACATATCGGACACACCAAATTGTGACAGGGGAGGGAAACCTTGTATTCCACTGTGAGTGGGACAACTTGAATAAAACCACTACCAGTGTGCACGGCAGCAACATTGTCAACAGTGCAGCAGGAGTCATGGTGCAGGAGGTTAAGCCTGGGTTCGAGAGCAACAAGGTCCGAATGATGCGTATCATTGATAAATCACAACAGCGTAGCCTTAAAGTTGACACACCAGAAACTCTCCCACCCCTGAATTTTCCTCGTGTTGGCCCAAAGTTCCCTGATGGCTCATCATTCACACCCCCTGCAGAGAATGATGCAGTCTATGCTGCTAAGATGAAAGAGTACTACATCTGGCTCTTCAGCAGGTATATCGGAACTGATGGTGAGCAGTCTGTGCCTGGACTAGGGGGCTTCACCTCTGCAACTGGTACTCCCCCACCCCGAAAATCGACTGTGGACTACTTCACGCCAATCCATCAGCCAATCACTGACAATGCAGTTGTTCGTGAGCTACTGAGGCGTTCTGAGAAGGCCACCATAGAGGTGGGTCAAAGATGGGTCCTGAATATGTTTGATGTGGGGGTCTGTATGAAAGCCCTACCCATCATTTGGCATTGGCCAGAAGAATTTGGCTGTCATGTTACCATGATTGGACCTTTTCATACATGCATGAATTACATCGGAATGCTCACAGGCCACAAAATGTGTGGTTCTGGCTATGCAGAGATACTGTTTGAGGCACAACTAGTGACAAGTGGTTCCCTCAAGGGTGTCCTGAGTGGAAAGGTGTATGCAAAGTCCCTCTTTTGCCTCACAACAATTTGTGAGGCAATGGAAAGGCTGTTGATGGAGCAATTCATTGAGGAGGAGAACATCCTCATGACTGATCCAGCTGCACTCCTCAATTTGACCGAAACTTGCAACAAGGAGCATCTTGATGAAGCCCTCAAGGACCCCTCTACTCTAACTCTCATCGAGAGATATCATGTTTATGAGGAGAAGGTACTCAAAGGACACCTAGGGAAAACAGGTGCCCTCTGGATGTCCTTCATCAACCACTGTCATCTCATCTTCATGCTCCTTCACTCTGTTAAGACTAACAACATCCAGCTGTTTCACAAATGTAACGGTGAGATGGCGGACCTCTTTTTTGCTTTTGATGGACAAAACTACTCCAGGTTTGCACAATTTCCACTCACAAACTTATTTATAAATACATTATATACTGGTTGAATGCACATGCATTAATTGTCTTCATGTATGTGCCTCTCTCTATCCACAGATATCTGACCTGGTTTGAGGTCTACCTGACAAACCTGGAGAACACACATCCAGGGGCCAAGGACCTGCTCACTAACGGTGCCATTGCGGTGGCCCGCTCAATGATACCAGGAGCACTCAGTGCAGTTGATAAGACGATGGAAGTAACTTTCATGCGCTTTGCCAAATCATCAGGTAAAACCATTGACCATTGTATAAAGTGCAAACTGTCCTCACTACAAATTGGTTTGGAGTCTTAAAATTGCAATACTTTTCAGGTGGCTTCACTGGACTGTACACCCAGTTTGGAGGATATCAGAGGTGGTGTCGTACGACCTCAGCACGGGCACAATATTATGAAAAGACTCTTGAAATGGTCAACCTCATCGATGATCCAGACTGCCCAAGGGCGGGGAGACATCGTGAGTTGGAGAAGGCAGAGGTAAAGAAAGGTGAACAGGCAGTTCAGCGAACCCTCACAGCTATCAGGAACTTCACCAACCCTTTCACCATCCCAGATAAGGATAGGCTCTACTCCCTAGCTTCTGGTGCTCCTGTCCCCATGGATGTCAAGATGGACATTTCACAGGCAGAAGCTGTGGGTAAGGCTGCTAAAGCTTCCTTCATCAGGCGCCTACAGAGTGGGGAACCTGGAAGCTTCTTGGACCCTATAAAGAAGAACAAGCTCAAGACCACAGCGTTGTGCAATAAGAAAGTCACCCTTACATCCTCACAGGGAAAGGTAAGGTTGCATATGAAGTGCTAAGCTTTATTTTTCACATTCATCAATGGAAACCTGTAAACACCATATCAACACTTTGCACATCTTTAATTCCAGGTTATCCAGTATCAGGAGCAAAGCAACATTGCATTCCAGCTCCTCATCAAGTCTCAGAGTCAAGTTGAGCCATTGGACTTGGAGAAACTGATGAAGTACTGCCTGGTGCCTGTACCCCCCAGCCTTGGGACACAGGATGGTTTTTTCTCAAAGACCAATAAAGCGTCTTTCTTGCACTACCTTCTGGAGGATACAACCTCTGAACATCTCCCCTACCCCAAGGATGCTCTCTTCATCCAGGATGGCATGGCACTGCTTCATGTTCTTACCAACCTTCCCCCAACCTGTGGTGAAATATGTCTACAGATACTTGATCAGATGGTGGCCAAGAAGCACTTTTTGTTCTCAACTGACAGTTACCATCCAGAATCAATCAAAGCCCAGGAAAGGTTGAGACGTGGCAGCTCAGAGAAAATCATTTTGGCCGGACCAGCAACCAGGAAGGCTTATGACTTCAAGACGATCCTTGCCAATGATGATAACAAAAAGCAGTTTTGCCAGCTCCTGCTGCGTGTATGGAGTGAACAACAGGCAGCCTCAAGGCTGGAGAAAACACAGATGGCAGTGCTGATTGTGGAGGGGAAAGCTCATCAACTGACCTCATCAAATGGCAAGGTAAATTGCAAGCCTATTTTCATCTTGTTCAGATTTTTGTCTGCATCTATATTTAGTGGTTACAAGTAATCAAAATGAAATGGCACTGTGTGTTTCAGGTTGAGGTGTGTGAGCTCCCTGAAATCTACAGCAACCAGGAAGAAACTGACACAAGGGTGGTACTGTACCTCCATTATGCTGCTGCCCTTGGATACAAGAGTGCTGTAGTCAGAACACCTGACACAGACATTTTTGTGATTCTTCTGTACCATGCTCATGCCATCAAGTTGACGGTGTACCTAGATACAGGATCAGGGAAGCATCGTCAACTTCTCAATGTCTCTGAGCTCGCGGAATCCCTGGGAGAAGACTACTGTGCCACTCTTCTGGGATTCTATGTGTTCAGTGGAGAAGACTGCACCAGTGCCTTCAAAGGGAAGGGGACGGTGGGGCCCTTGAAAAAGCTGGAGAAGAATCCCAGGTTTCACGAGGCATTTCGTCAGCTTGGTGATGACTGGAATGTAAAGCCTGAGGTGATGAGGCAGTTGGAGCAGTTTATCTGTCTGCTGTATGGACAGAGTTGCGAGTCTTCAGTGAATGTTGCCCGTGCCAAGTTGCTGCGGAAAATGGTAGGAGGGGATGACAAACTCACTTCTAAATCGAAAGTTGACCTGGCGCGCCTTCCTCCATGCTACTCTGCTCTGAAGCCACACATCCAACGTGTGAACCATCGTGTTGCCTTATACAAGCGAGCTGATGAAGCTATTGTGGAAAAACCAAAGCCCAATGATGAGGGGCAGGGATGGTTGAAAACTGAAGGGGTTTTGAAACCAGTGTGGTCCTGCGGTCCAGGCCTACCAACCTCACTGGTTGATCTCCTTGAGCATGGACAAGAAGAGGAAGAGATGGAGGAATCAGAGGACGAGTTCTATGAGGACGATGAGTAATTAAAATGATCGAGAATTTTGTTCTTCATGGTGCAGGCCAGTTTACAATGTGGTCACTGTTTGTAAACTGTTTGCTAACATATTTGCTTGTGTACAGGGTGGGATCCTGCAATGTGATGTTATTGTATGCTATTGTCAATTATTACTGAGGATGTTTGTTTTGTGACGTTACGCTACAGTATATCTTATAAAGCTTGCTTAAAAACTCAGCATCTGGCTAGACAACTTATTTGTATGGTTATACACAATATTGGTATCTATTACTTGGTAAAAATGTTATTATATTGTAACAGGGAAACCAGCGTGGTGTGGCCACTTTAAGAATAGTTTCAATGAGGTTCTTGACCCTCAAAACATAGGTCCAGATACCTTATTTGTTCATTTTAATGCAACATTGGCTGAGATATAGGCAAAATCAATGTTTCCATAATGGCGGCACCAATTTGCATATAAATAGTAGATGGGTCATGTTGACAACTATTTAACATAGCTCATCATTTTCAGCACATTTTTTACAATAAGGAAATACTGATTAGAAATATATATATATATATCTGGGGGTGCATAATACCTGTAATAGACAGCTACTGGCAGAATCTCCTATTTTCTCCGATTTGAGGTATAGTGCAGAACTTTGGCTATAGAAAGAGTAACTTTCAAGCCAGAAAGGTCATCTTGGGCTCAAATTGAAGCTTGGGGACATGGGAAGTTCATATATACAAATGAGGCAGTGATATTCAACATAAAGTGCTGGAAATCAATCATCTTTGTTATTATTTGTCAAGCGGACAGTATATTTTTTTGTGTTTCTGGGGATGATGTTGGTCATAATTATGAATACAGTTGTAGCAGGTCCTAAAATCCTATTGGGCTACTTAACCCTATGTCTCAGGATACCCCATGCCAAATTTTAGACTTTCATGTCCAATTATGTAATTTTAGTGAATTAATATTTGCCTTAACACAATTTCGCTGGAGCCATGTACCAAAAAGTGGGTTTTTGGGGGTTTTGGGGCAGATGGGACATTCTGAGAACTTTTTATCATAGCTCATCATTTTCAGCACATTTTTTCCTATAGAAAAACACTGATTAGAAATATATCTCCGGGGGGTGCACTGAACCCCCTCCTTCCAACTGGACTATATGATTTTACTGGGAGGATGAAGAAACAAGGCAGCCAGAGCGGCTCAGAACTGAACATGATGAAAGTAAACGCTGCCTTGCACAGGACACGTCTTTGTGTTGCTATGGTGATGAATCTTTCCGTTTTCTGGTGGAGTGAGGAGGGCGTCCCATACCCACCCCTCTTGTTTATACCCTCCCATTTCAATTGAGGCGCACTCCACAGCTGTGAGTGTAACTTCATTACGAGTGACACTCGATAGTGAAGGGCCAGTGTGTAGGGGGTGGTTTGGGATTTGGCCTCTGTGTCTCGCCGTTGGCGGAAATAACATACTAGCAAGCAGCACGCCCGCTAAGTGAGCGCGAGTCAATGTTCTTTTATATTGTGCAAAAAAAGGAGAGATTAAAAATAAATAAAGCTGTAGCGGGGGATTCTGCTACTTTTAAAGATATCAAATAGCATATTGCTTTAAATTGGCTGAAATTAAATCCTTCTTACAGGAATGTTTATGCACATGTATTAATGTAAATGCACTATAATGCACTGTTTTATCTTAGCCTCAATGAACGAACCGGTGCTCGGCAGTAAGTGAACAACACTACACCCCTCCCTCCTCTCCCTGCCTCAGGTCATTTGGAAGTCGTTTGTTTCGTTTGCCATGTCGTTGACAGACTGACTGATACATTTCGTACACTGACTGACTGGTACATTTTATTCACTGACTGATACATGTCGTTCACAGACTGACTGATAAATATAGTTCATTCGCTGTGGGCAAATCACAAGACTCCTCCCACCTACTCCCTCACTGGCTGGCTGTATATCATTCACAAACGAGTCAAAGGCAGCAGTTCCACTCCCAACCAGCACGCCAGGCTCGCAGCTGAGCTTAACTGAACTGAGAAAGGAACGAATCAGCTCTCGGAGTGATTTCATTCATGTCGTTCACGCAGCGTTCCGTTCTTTTAAATGAAACGTTCATGAACGACACAACACTAGTGTACAGGTGTGTATAAAAGTGTATACAGACCTGTAAAAATGTGTAAATGTGTAAAGGTGAAGTGTGTAGAGGTGTGAAAAGGTGTGTGAAGGTTTGTGAAAATTTGTAAAGGTGTGTTAAGATGCTAAAAGTGTGTGGGGGCATGAAGGCATGTCATCCTCTTACACCATTTTTTATTTTCAATTTTATCCTCTATGTTTTTCATTCTTATTCCATCTCTTTTACTTATCTTTCAGTCCCCATGGTCTCTGGGTTTTGATCCTGTTCAGGTTTTCTCCCCTTGAGTGTTCTCTCCTTGTTGTTGTTCTGTTCTTTTTAAATTACTGCTTTGTTTCTCTCCATGTCAAAATACTTTTTTAACCCTTGTTTTTAAAAGTGACTTTTAAATTAAATAATCATTTTTAAAGGCATGTAAAGTTGCATAAAGTGTGAAGGTGTGTGTAGTTGTGTGTAAGTGCGTAAAGAAGTGTAAAGAAGTGCAAAGACATGTAAAGGTGTGTACATGTGACAAGACCATTTTAAGGTCAGATCACTGGCTTCTAAAATGTTGTAGTAATTTAATTAACAGGGGGCTGAGGGGGAAGGTGGTGTAAGGGACGGCTGATTGTGTTTTAGTCTTTGCCTAAAGCAGGGGTGTCAAACTCTATTTTACCAAGGGCCACATCAGCGTATACTTGCCCTCAAAGGGCAAAATTTAAATCATAAATGTAAGCAAATGTAATGTGAAATAAATGTAACTACTTCTTAATGTTACTCAATTTACAAATATTACATATATATATATATTGCTGTTGAAAAAGATATGCTTTGTTGTTGCTCTGTTATTGACATAAATTCTAATTTGTCAAATCATAAAACGCACATTACTCCATAAATCAACAATTCAACTATCCTCAAAAAATGTTTTAAGGACTTTTCTCCTACTCAGCCACCATACCTCTGTATGGTACGATAAGTCTTCATGCTCCAAGCCCATCTCCTGCAAGAACCAGCTGGAACTGACAATGATTCAGGCCACACGCCTAAACTAAATTCCTTGTTTTCATGACTGTAATCACTATATCATCCATCCCCAGCACCTTCCCATACAGAGCTTTTGATGGACACACCTCTGATATGTTATCAGAGACGTGTGACAGGTATGTTTTTAGCATTTTCTCCGTCATTAGTCCAACCAAGCCCACTTTTCCTCCACACTTTGCAGGTGCACCATATGTAGTTAATTCCACCAAGTTTTCCCAGGGCAATGGATTTTTACTTACAGTCTTCTCCTCCCTGTTAAAAATATGCTGCCCTGTTGTGGTCCCATTCATGGCAGCCACATCCAACAGCTCCTCAGTGGCAGAGAGGTCTGACTTCATGCCTCTAATAAAAATAGATCACTGCACTGGATCCATGTTGTCTGTGTTTTTATCAAGAGCTTATGAAAAAGCTTTTAGCAGTGTGGGTCTTCAGCCAGCTGTGTCGCTAGGTTTCCTTCTAATTCCTTAACGCGATCCACAATGTTGTTTCTTGATAAACTGACATTTAAAAAAAGTCTGTATCTGGTCAGGATACACCTGCTCACAGACCTTCAGCATGCATCCCTCAAACACGCTTTCTTTGATAACCGACACTGCTCTCCTTGAAGCATAAACATGTATTCGCCTTTCCATCCTTCTTGAAACAGCCCCCCGTCTGCATCACTTTTTCCCTCCCTGGACATTTTCGGATCATTATTTGTATTTCTAAAACCCACTTGTTGGGAAAATCGCATCAATGTGGATACACTGCAGTCTAGTGGCAGGATGCTGTCAATTTGCACGTAACATAATTGGCATACATTGTGGGAAATGTAGTTTTTGGTCAATACATGCTTTTGACTTGTCTAATTTTTGACAATAAGACCTTTTTAGCTCTCGCTGGCCCCCCCAAAAAAAGCCCGGGGGCCCTGAGTTTGACAAATATGGCCTAAAGCCATAAATCCCATTGACAGCCCCCCATTTCCTGTATGAAGGTGATTTTTAGGATTGGTCCTGCCTTCAGTCACAGAGTTGAAGATAGAAAGATAGAGACATTTAATTAAAATAGTTTTTGAAGTTTTTTCATCTTCAGTTTGAAACTGAAAATACTTCCCTCCATTTTTTGATATTTTCTTTATCTGCAAATGTATTTGATCAGATCTGCTCATGTGTCCAGCCTCTGACCTCTACATATTTGTGTGTAAACAGACATAATATATAGTATATATATATGTACGTATATATGTCATCATCTTTTTCAGTGTGGTTACTATGAGAGGAGCAGAGCCATATCTGGTCGCTGGGTTCAAATGCTGTGTTGGGTTATCATTACGCTGGTTTATGTGCTGGCCATAATAAGCAACCTTGTCAAACCCTGTTCTACTGAAGAAGAAGTCCATTCATTGTTTAATCGAGGACCCGGTGCCGTTGTTGTGCCAAGAAACACATGCCCATCGAGGATTGCGCGCACCTTGTGGGAACGCTGTTTGGCCCCACAATTAAGAATTGTATGGGTTTTAAACTGTTAATTTCTGTGGACCACTCTACTATAAGCAGTGTGTGTTTCTGCATGAAATTCTTGGCAGGCATACGTTTCTCGTCATTACACTGGCAGATATGTGATATTAGCCTTACATCAGCTGTTTTTCTGTCTGCTAAATTTTGCATCCACCTTTTATTCAGCTATAGAGACAATAACAAGTCATATTTTTGTAATAAAAATATACAACATGAGGAAAGTCCACAAAATAGACTGGCAACAGTTCGTGACTCCGAATTATCAGAATTATAACTTTGTGGGTGGATGCATTTTTCGGTAACAGCTGTTTTTATGTCTGCCGAAATATGCATCCACCCATAAATTTTGCTTCTGAT